GCCAGTGACCCTCTGCTCCCGGCCCATCCCTGTCACTTATGCCTGGAGCGTCTCATGATCGAGCCTTGGTGACATTTCAAAGCAAAAGAGCAAGAAACCAGAAAGCGGGCTCAAGCCCGGCTGTTCTCAACGGCGGGTTTGTGAATCAAGGGCGCAGGGCTAGAATCCCTTCCACGCCCGGGGGGCTCCTTCCAGGGCTGCCCACGCACCCCCCCCATCATTCGGCTGTCTGATACCCGCCCCCCACCCCAGCCCGAGGACTGCCGCGCTGCTCTGGGCTTCCATCCACAGGATTATTTCACCCGAGTTTCCGAGGCTGGTGAATCCGTGCGGCTCGCAACCTGGGACCTTCTGCCACTCAGCCTCAGCTCCTGCTCCCCTCAGGTGTTGTTCTGCTGGCGGGGAGGGGGCGTGCATGGGGCCCTTGAGCCTGTGCCTGCCACCACCTTCCATGGGCATGTAGCTGGCAGGGACCTTTCCGGAGCCGCGTGGGGCAGTGCTGATTGGGGGGGGGGGGTGGCGGAGGCGGGTGCAGGGCACCCTCTCTGCATCTCCAAACTTCCGATGCCCGCGTGAGGCTCTTCCTCTCCGCCTGCCTTCTCTCCTGAGGGCGGACGGGCCACGCCAGGGCCTCTCTCTGCCCCAGTTGGCAGACAGGTCCAAGAGGCCGGGAGAGGCCAGATTGCCGAGGGAGTGGCGTGTTCTGGCCAGTCCCCTTGGAGCACCGGGCGCCACTGTCCTCCCTCTCCCTGGGCCGCCTCCAGGGCCGCCCCTCAGAAAGGGGCACCGGGCTGGTCTCGGGGCTGGCGTGAGCTCACCGGGGGCCCCCATCCACCAGGTAGGGCTGGGAGGGGCCCCAGGGGCACCGAGGGTCTCCCCGCATAGACACAGCCAAGGTGCTGCTCCTGGCCGCTCCTGCCTGCCCCTTTTGAGGGGGCACCGTCCTACCTGGACAGGCAGGGCCTCCCATTGGACAGGTGCCCCACAGGTGCCAGGGTGGGTGACGTTGGGCCACAGCCGGTACTGGCCACATGGCTCGAAGGCTGCTGCTCTCTGTCACCTGTGTGAGCGGGCACTGGCCGTCCCCGCCCGGACAGCTGCACCCTCTGTGCTGGGTCTGCGTGTGCGTGCCAGCCCAGCAGGGTGCCTCGAACCCTCGCGCTCACCGCTTTCCGGAGCTGGGTGGCCTCTGGGCCATTTGCTGGGGTCACAGCAGGTGCCCTTGGGGGGCCGCTGAGGCTTGAGCTCTAGGCCATGTGGGATCTTCTCCTGAAAATTCCTCCTCGGAACTTTCCAGAAAGATCTGGAACTTTGTGATGAGTCTCGGGCAGAGGCAGCCTTGTCGATCCCTGCTGGAGAGAGGACCCGTGGGGTCTGTCCACCCTCCGGGGGCAGGTAGGGGGTCAGCTCATGGCATTTGTCTCCTGGCCCCTCTGCCAGGGGCTCCAGGGCCAGGCTTGGGCCCGTCCCGCGCACCCCCCGTGAAGCCCGTGTGCCCCTTAATTAGCTGACAGCACAGGGCGGAGGTGGGAGCTGCCGTAATAACAGGTCGAGGGGCCCCTGGGGAGGCGGGGGCTGGGGAGACTGATCTCCAGGTGAAAGGACGTTTCAGGAACAGGCCTCCACATCCTGAAGTGCATTTCCCCATCTCGGGTCCAGACAATGGGCCGATTGTGCTGGGTCAGGTCGCGTGGGGAACTGAGCTCCGAGGGGGTGCGCTCTCAGGGGCCCCACCACACCCCTCTCCTTCGTCCCCGCCCCCGCCCCCCTCCCCTGGGGCCCCGCCAAGACATCCCTACTCACTCGACTTGTGTGGTCTGGGATGATGGATGGCTCGGGTGTGATTTGAAGAAGAGGTGGGGCTCCCGCGTCCGTTGATGGGCCCAGAGTGTTGGGGAGGGAGGCAGAGTGGCACTACAGAGGGTCGTGGCCACGACTGGAGGGACCCCAGGGAGCTCCAGGCCGTAGCACGCTCGCTGGTCTCAGCTGAAGAGGGGGAGTGCTCGCAGGCAGTGCTCCTGGGGGCTGCGGTACTTGGCCTGGCTGTGCGGCCCAGATTGGCAGTGCCAGGCCCAGACCTGGGTCTGCTGGGCGCCACGCGATGCAGGGGCAGGGGGAGCGGGGATGCACTGGCCCTTTGAGATATCCCTAGGCAAGGTCTGGGCCTCAGCACGGAGCCATGCGCCCGCCCCCCATCCTGTTTGCCTGAGCCCGCCCCCCCCCAGCCCCCCCGGATCGCTGACTCCGCTTTCTGCTGGGAAAATGAGAATCTGTGATTTAGCAAGTGTGGGAGAGCTCACCGTGGAGTTCACACGACCCTCTCGGGGCGCCCCTTTATGTGGGAGGCTGCTCTGTGCACGGCGGGTCCTTTGCGTGTTTTTGGGGTGAACTGCACATGTCACCTCAGATGTGCGGGTGTAGACGGGGGGCGTGGGGAAGCGTTTAGGACTTGCTGGGGTGGGAGGGCAGATGGTTCCGCGAGCCGAGCACGGGGCAGTATTTTCTTGCCCCGATGCTCGTGTGGGCACCTCTGGTGTTTTCTTTACAAAGCGCTGGGATTCGAAGCGTGTCTGAAGGACCCTCCTCAGGCACCCTCCAGAACTAACCCAGGCGAGGCTCAGTGTTGATTCTAGGCCTTTCTGTCTGCACACAGACACCCCGAGGGGATAGTTTACTCCCAGCCTCCGGCCTGCCCTCGCTCCCAGGTGCTTCTCTGCCACTGTCCCTTTTCAACGTGGCGGCTGGACAGAGTGACACGGTGTGTCGTTGCCCCCGTGCTGGTGGCGGGGCTCGTGTGGTGTGGTACCGGCTGTGACTGTCCCACTTGTGACTCTGCCCCGGGACTCGGGACAGGTCACTCAGTGGCGCTGGGTCACCTCTGCCCAGTTTTGTGCTGGGGGGCGGGGGACGGGGGATGCCCGTGTCATGGGAAGGTGCTTGCGTGTGGCCTCACCCACTCGAGCCCTTTCCCCTTGGCCCTCCTTGAACTTGAGTGTGCCGCCAGAGAAACGGTCTCCAGGAAGTGCCTCCTGGTGCCGGCCCTGCACCTGAGGGGGCTACAGGCAGCGGCCATGAGAAGCCGTGTTTGCCCCACAAAGCACCTGACCCCACATGCCGACACACATGTTTCACATGTTCTCCTCATCTGTACACACATTCTCACCAGTGCTCATACAAGTTCTTTTTTTTTTTTTTTGCTTTTTGGGTCACACCTGGCAATGCACGGGGGTTACTCCTGGCTTATGCACTCAGGAATCACTCCTGGTGGTTCTCGGGGGACCATACGGGATGCTGGGAATCGAACCCGGGTCGGCCGCGTGCAAGGCAAACGCCCTACCCGCTGTGCTATCACTCCAGCCCCTCATACAAGTTCTTGCCTGCGTCTTCACACACACATGTTCTCATAGTACTCTCCCACGTGCAACGTTCCTCCACAGAGCACACGTAGACGTTCTAGACGTTCTCCCCATGCATGTGCTGTCACATGTGCCCACGTGCAGTTTTCTCCGTCTTCATAGGCATATACACGCCTGTGTGGTTGCCTGCATACACACCCCTGTCTTCACAAATGTGTTCTCTCTCACATGTTCATGTGTGTTCACGCAGACTCTCTCCTGTGTGTTCATATGAGCATGTGTTCTCTCCTGTGCTCATATACTCCCATGTGCGTGTGTCGTGTGTTCTCTCTGTGTGTTCATGTGTGTGTTCTCTTCCTGTGTTCACGCATTTCTTCTTCCCTGTGTGCTCACATGTGTGTTCTCTCTGTGTTCACATGTGTTTCTCTGTGTTCACATGCCAGGAGGGCTCGGCTGCCGGGCACCTGTCTCAGCCCTGGGGAAGCAGGACCCCGTCTCAGAGGGCCTGGGGGTGCCCTTGGCAGCCAGCAGGGTGGTGGGGCACAGAGGCAGGTACCATCCCCAGACCTGGCAGGCCGTGCTCCCGGGCACGCTGATGCCAGACGGAGCAAGAGGAGGTGGCAGCGCCCAACACGGCCGGGTCAGAGCTGAGTGGGCACAGCAGGAAGTGGAGAAGGAAGTGCCAGCTGTGTCCTTAACCTGGACGCAGGGTGGGCCAACAGGGGACTCAGGAGTGACCCTGGCATCACCTGGGCAATTGGCTGCCCTAGAGGTGACCTGCACCAGCCTCCTCACTCTCAGAGCTGAGGGGCAGGAGAACAGGTCAGGGCTAGGGGGAAGCCAAGAGCAGCCCCCAGGACCCCAGGACCCCAGACCTACCCTCATGCCTGGCGCCCAGGGGTGTCCAGATGCCGACCAGTGAGTGGGCCTGAGAGCTGGCCAGCAGGGCTGCCCTGGGGGGCCCGGGGTGTGAGGCCTGCGGGGGAGGTCCCGAGCTGCAGGGGACACTCAGCTCCGGGGTGCTAGCCTGCCTGGGGGGAGCTGAGGGCCTGCGGACATCAGAGAGGTGAGGAGAGCAGCCCCTAGGCCCGTCCCCTGGGGTCACAGCCAAGAGGGACCGGGAGACAGAGCAGTGTCCGGGCACCCCACGGGAACGAGGCTCCAGGCTCCCAGATGCCCAGCGGACACTTGTCCTCACCGCTCCCCACTGTACCGAGCTGGTCCTGGGGGCCACTGGGTCATCCTGTCCCAGGGGCCTTGTGCTCTTGGCCCCTGTGACCAGCACAGGAGGGCCTGTGCTCCTCTGCGGCCCCCACCTGACTGCCTGAACCTCGCTGCACCCCAGGAGCTGGTTCCCTGGTCTGGGCTGAGGCCATGTGTCCCGCCCAGCACCCCCACTGTGCAGCCCCGGGGGCGGGGGCGCGGGGAGCGTGGCCATGGAAAGCTTCTTTCAGCCAAGTTTATCTCAGAAACCCAAACGCCATCTCCTGTGCAGGCGGCCCCTGAGCAAGGCGCAGGGTGACCCTCTCCACTCAGTCCACGCGGGGTGCCACAGGAGCAGAGAGCAGCCCCCCCCCCCCCCCCCCCCCAGTGTGCCCTTCTCCCCACAGCCCTGCTAACCCGCCTGCTTCTCCTTCCCTCCAGCAGGCGGCGCTGACCACTGAAGCTCCTGGCCCGGCCCCCCTCCCTCCCCGAGCCCGGTGGGGGCCTGATCGGGAAACCGGCCCCCGCCGCCCCGCGATTGATGACTTTGCTTGGGGGCCGCTGGCAAGGGGAGAGCGCCGGCAAGCATGGGTCAGAAGGTCACCGGGGGCATCAAGACCGTGGACATGAGGGACCCCGCGTACCAGCCCTTGAAGCAGGAGCTGCAGGGCCTGGACTACTGCAAGCCCAGCCGCCTGGACCTGCTGCTGGACATGCCCCCCGTGCCCTACGACGTGCAGCTGCGCCACTCCTGGAACAACGACGACCGCTCGCTCAACGTCTTCGTGAAGGAGGACGACAAGCTCCTCTTCCACCGGCACCCCGTGGCCCAGAGCACCGACGCCATCCGCGGCAAGGTGGGCTACACGCGCGGCCTGCACGTGTGGCAGATCACGTGGGCCATGAGGCAGCGGGGCACGCACGCCGTGGTGGGGGTGGCCACGGCCGACGCCCCCCTGCACTCCGTCGGGTACACGACCCTCGTGGGGAATAACCACGAGTCCTGGGGCTGGGACTTGGGGCGCAACCGGCTTTACCACGACGGCAAGAACCAGCCAAGCAAAACGTACCCCGCCTTCCTGGAGCCGGAGGAGACGTTCATCGTGCCCGACTCCTTCCTGGTGGCCCTGGACATGGACGACGGCACCCTGAGCTTCATCGTGGACGGACAGTACATGGGAGTGGCCTTCCGGGGACTCAAGGGCAAAAAACTGTACCCCGTCGTGAGTGCCGTGTGGGGTCACTGCGAAATCCGGATGCGCTACTTGAACGGGCTTGACCGTGAGTGTCCCCTCGGCCGTCGGGAGAGTCCTTCCACCCCCAGGGCCTGGCGGGGTCCAGTGTCTCGGGGTGGACCTCCAGGACCGTCAGATTCCCAGTGGCAGCTCCCAGTTGCCTCTGTCTGGCGAAATCAGGAGTCCTCGCTGGGTCGGGCTGGGTTCCAGCAGCGCCTCCCTGATGGACGAGTTGGGGGATGGAGGAATATGAAGCGGGGAGGGTGGGGGGTGGGTGATTGGATGGCTAGTCGGCCCAGTGGGGGAATGAATGAGTAGGTGCCAGTGGGTAGACGCACGGATGAGTGGGTGGGTAGATCAGTGCATATACGCGTGTCTGCCTTGGTAAACGAGGGTTGGAGAGGTAGATGGGTGGGTATATGGATGAGTAGATGGGTGGGTCGATGGGCCAGTGGGTGGGTGATGGGTGGATGGACAGAGGGATGAGTAGGTGGGTGGGTGGATGGATGAAGGGGCGTGTGATTAGAGAGACAGACAGTAGATAAATTAGTATACGGACCAGTGGGTGGGTGCTGGGCGGATAGATAGATGGGTGAGTGATCGGGTAGTTGAGTGGAGGAATGAGTGGGTGAGTTGAGGGCCGAACCAGAGGCGTGGGTGGTGAGTAGATGGGTGGAAGAGGGGGATGAGGGATGACCTGGGTGGGTCACTGGGCAGATGCATAGTGGATGGATGGTCTCTGATGGGCCTCATTTATTTTTGGAGACTCACCTGCAGGGCTGGAGCGATAGCACAGTGGTAGGGCATTCGCCTTACAAGTGGCCAACGTGGCCGACCCGAGTTCGATTCCTCCGCCCCTCTCGGAGAGCCTGGCAAGCTACCGAGAGTATCTCGCCCGCACGGCAGAGCCTGGCAAGCTCCCCGTGACGTATTCGATATGCCAGACACAGTAACAACAAGTCTCATGATGGAGACGTTACTGGGCCCGCTCGAGCAAATTGATGAACAACGGGAGCACCGTGACCGTGACCGTGACCTGCAGGTTTAATCTACGCACAGTGAAGTTCTGGCATGGTAGCCAGGCGTGGCTGAGCGAGGGTCTAGCCTCGAGGACTAGGTCTCTCCTACTAGGTGAAATCCAGGGTCCTCGGTCATGACAGCCCCTCTCTCAGAGCCGGGGACTTCGCCTGGACCCTGGGACTCGTCTCCTGAGGGGGTCTGTTCACAGAGATGAGGTCGGGAATCCCGGGGAGGGGGCGTGTGGGCCGGAACTGAGCTCAGGCAGCAGAGTGTCACTTTCCCTGGAGAGCAGTGGGAGGGTGGGGGGAAGGAGCTGTGAGCCTGGATGGGCTCCCCTGGGGTTGAGGGGGGTACAGAGCCCTGGGGTGCACCCACATCAGAGGTCAGGCGACAAGGATGCGCACGGCCTTGCCGGGGATGGGAAGTGTCCATCAGAACCCGTATTTTTTTTTAATTATTTTTTGTTTTGACCACACCCAGCAGTGCTCAGGGGTCACTCCTGGCTCTGCACATAGGAATCACTCCTGGCAGTGCTAGGGGAACCATATGGGGTGCCAGGAATCACCGGGAAACCCGGGTCAGCCGTGTGCAAGGCAAGTGCCCTCCCCACTGTACTATCTCTCCGGCCCCCATCAGGCACCTATCATCAGTGACCCTGACCCTGCAGGGGTGGGACTTTATCATTTGGGGGTCACAGGAACAGGTGAGCCCGCCCAGGCAGCTCCTACAGTCCTGGAGGACGGATGTGTGAACACGGGCGGGTGGGCAGGCGTTCTGAGCACGATGGGGGTCTCTCCCAGGCCTCCCCCTACTCCTGGTGGTCTTGGCATCGTGGGCTTGTGTCCGCCCAGCTCCTGAGCCCCGGGGGTCCTCCTCTGAGACCCCAGCTCACTGCGTGGACCCTCCGAACACCCGTCTCCCACGGAGGGTCTGGAGATCCTCCCGGTGTGAGGAACGCTCATCCCCCCACAGGGACATAGAGACCACAGTATAAACGGTCTCCTGAGCGGCCCCCGCCCTCCTCTGTCAGGGGTCCCGTGCACCCGTGGGGGGCCCTGGGGACTTCTCCTTCCCGGGGCAGGCAGAGGTCAGCCTCCCCTGACACTAGGAGCCCCCAGGGAGCAGGCCCTGACTTGGGAGTCGGCCCAGCATCTAGAACCTTCCCAGCATCCGACGCGGAGTGGGCTTCTGGGTCGATGCCTTCAGGCTCCTCCCTTGCCACGTCACCCACGCCGTGCCACGCCCTCCCCCACCAGCTCCCACGGCTGCCGGGGCAATCGAGGGTCTCCCCACTTCTTGGGGCCCAGGGGGAGCCTGTGCCAGCGTGGCCCCCAGCCTCTTCCTCCCGGCCCCCTCTCTCCCGGGTGTCTCTGCCTCCCTCTCCCGCCTCCCCCTCAGGGGCCCCCCTGCAGCCCAGCACTCTCAGGCGCTCCCTCTGCAGCTTCCAGACAAGTGCCGTGTGGTTTGCCGTAATTGCGGGTTCAGGAACGGCCCCTCTTCCTGGGGGCCCTCACCCACATGGCGGCACCTCAGCCGGGGGTGGTGCTCCCAGGGGAGAAGCACCGTGGGGGGAGAGAGCATGTTTCGGGGTCCGGCCCTGGGGCTGGGCTCAGGCCTCCTTCCCGGGGGGCAGGTTGGGGCGTGGCGCTGGGCCGGGCGTCGGGGCCGCCACACCGAGGACGCGTCCTCCACCCACGACCTCCGAGAATCCGTTTCATGAGGCTCTTCCTCCCACGGCTGCTTTCGGGAGGGACCGTGGGGCCCATCTAGAGCCTCTGTCCAGCCCTGTGACACCCCCACAGCCCCAGGGAGCAGGCACTTGGCAGGGGCAGGGGGGTCTGCGTGCAAGCCAGGGTCCTTCCTGGCTGTTGGCTCAGAGAAGGGATGTGGCCGGGGGAAACCAAGTCCTTTTTTTTTTTTTTTCTCTGAAAAGGCCAGAGAAATCTGGGCCCCCCAGGCTCCGTCTGGCCCCTGATGGAGGCTGACGTGGGGAGTTGAGATCTGCCCAAGCAACGCCAGGGAGCCCGGGAGGGCACCGGGGTCATGCGCGTTCCAACAGGCCGCAGAAATGCAGAGACTCTGCCCGTTCCTCAAAGCCCCGTTCCCCGAGCTCTCGGCTGTCAGCACCCGCCTGCCCTCACGCGCATTCCTAGAAACCTGCAGCTGGGCTCCTCCCAGCCAGGACCAGAACGCTAGGGTGTGGGAGGCCTATCAGGGGCCTGGGATCCCAGACCACAGTTCGGGGCCGGAGGTTGTCCAGAGCGTTGGCCCATGGCCTTGTGACTGAGGAATACCAGGCGGACAGTGTTGGTGTCTGAGACCCCAGAGTCGGGGCGATCATTGGGGTTCCCGGGGACCGACCCCATTCCAGTTCGAGCCTATGAACTGCCTCTGGCACAGCAGGACTTGAGGGCACGTCAAACCTACCCCCCTTATTAAACGGGCATTCAGGGTGGGCCGCGGCCCGCTCACCCGTCAGTGCCATGGCAGTGCTGTCATTTGGTGGGTGCGAGGTGGCCTTCCGCCTGGACTCTCACCCCCGAAGCCCATTGCCCCAGCTGCCACTGTGGGGTCACCATCCCCACAGGCACAAAATAGCTGCTGCATCCCCTAAAGGAAGAGAACTGGGCCAAGGCCAGGGGACAGACAGACCTTGGCCTCTCACAGGCCTGCAAGGGCACCCGGGGTGCAGTGACGCCCCCTCCCCTGCAGGCCGCGGTGGGGGTAGGGGGCCCCCTCTCTTCCTGCTGGGGCTGAGCCCCCTCCCAGAGGGAGGAGAGGAGCTTCACCCCCCTCCCCCATCTGCCTGGAGCTGACTCCCTCCGCCGCCCCCCGGCCTGGGGGCTCCATGCAGGAGCTTTGGGGACATCTGTCCTGGTTGCCCCAGGCAGGATGAGACCAGGCTGCTTCGAGGGCAGAAGCGTTGTGCTGCCAGCTCTGGGGTCCCAGGAGGGTCTGGGGGTTGGAGGGGGGGCGTTGCAGCTGGTGGGAGGGGGTCGGGGTGCAGGCCTGAAGCAGGTGTTTTTTTTTTCTTTTTGGGTCACACCGGCGATGCTCAGGGGTTACTCCTGGCTCATGCACTCAGGAATCACTCCTGGCGGTGCTCGGGGGACCATATGGGATGCTGGGAATCGAACCTGTGTTGGCCATGTTGGCTGCGTGCAAGGCAAACGCCCTACCCGCTGTGCTATCACTCCAGCCCATGAAGCAGATGATTTTGACCCCGCCGCTCCGCTCTCCCTCTGTCCGGTGCGGACGAAGAGTGACATCCCCGGGGGGTCTTCGTCATCACCCACCGGAAACCCCAAGCCCTGCCGAGGCCCAGTGTGTGCGTGCGTTGGTAGCAGAGAGGCTGTGGAGCGTGGCAGAGCTGGATCGCGATTGCGGGGGTGTGTGTGTCTTCCAGAAGCTTCCAGCGTGCGCTGACCGCTGTCCTGTCTCTCCCGCCCCACCAGCCGAGCCGCTGCCACTCATGGACCTGTGTCGCCGCGCCGTGCGCCTGGCCCTGGGGAAGGAGCGGGTGGCCGAGATCCACGCGCTGCCCCTGCCCGCCCCGCTCAAGGCCTACCTCCTGTACCAGTGACACGCGGCCACACGCGCGCCCCGGGCTCCAGCCGACCGCCCGCCGCCTCCTGTGCTCCCTCGACTCCGCGGCCAGCCTGCCGGACACTGACACGGGCAGGTGACCCTGCACGTCCCCGAGCCCCGGGGCAGCCCGACCCGGCCCCCACACCGGCTGTGTCCCAGGGAGCGGACCCCCAGGGACCCCGAGGTGCTAAGATGAGGGGTGACGCCCAGCAGGACCGCAGTGACGGAGCTCAGGGCGCCGGGGCTCCCGGGCTTGGAGGCAGGCGCCCAGCCGGACCTTCCCCGGGCACCCGGCACCAGCTCTGCCCCACCTGTATTTATTCTCCGGACAGTAACAGACGCCGTCTATTTATTCCAAGTAGAGCAGCGGCCTTGTGCCGTCATCCTCTCCGAGTGGCCTGTTGCTTTGCCACATCATGCGCCCGCCCCCCCCCCCCGCCCCCCGCCCAAAGTTTGTGCCTCCCGGGCCCTCCCGCCCCGCGTCTGTGCCCCCACGGACACAGGCTCCCCTCCTCTGTACTGCGCCCCACTCTGAGGTCCTGCGTGGGCACCTCAGGGCGCCACGTGCAATAGAAGTGGGGGGAGACAGTCCCCACCGGTGGTGCCAGTTCCCCGCGCCGTCCCCCCAGGAAGGGGCCGAGCACTCATCTGTCTTCACGTGGCCCCTTGTCCTCATGTCCAGGGGCGTGCACTGGGCGGAGATGCCCCCGTGCGTCCTCCGCTGTTCCTGGTCCTCCCAAGGAGGAGTTAAGGGGGCATAAGGAGGTCTTTCATCCCCCAGCCAGACCCCTTTCCCAATTCAGAGCCCCCGGGTGGGAGGGGAGGGGGCAGCCTGCAGGGATGCCCACAGCCCCCCCCCAACATCACAGACCCCGGCAGCCTCCACCGTGCTCGGCCCCCTCGCTCTGAATCTTGAAGTCAACCATCTGAGAACCCGACTTCATTTCTATTATCTAGGTACAATAGATTACTTTATTTGTTTAAAATGGTTAATATATATACATATCTATATCTATATATATATATATTTGTCCACAAGAATTATCTTTTTAAACAGCTGCTGTAGGGTACCTTAAAAAGAAAAAAAAAATAGTCTTCCAGTGGAATATATTTTTAAAGCACAAAATTGGTGCCAAGTCTGGGTGAGGAACGTCCGTTTCCCGCTTATTCCTTGGAGGGTTGGGGGGACCCTTACCTGGAGAGCTCCCCGCCCCCCGGCCCGCTCCTTCGGGTGGGACACGTGCTGATGAGTGTCGCCCTGGATGGCTTCGCGTCCACAGCCCTCCCCTGACGCCGGATGAATCACCGGGCGGCTTGTCATCAGTACATTCCGGCCCCGGGCCCGGACCCCCGCCCTCCCAGCCCCCCAGCCCAGAGTTGTGCAGCCTGTACAGTTTTGAAACCCCCCTTCTGTTTTCTGATGGTTGGTGAATAGTAACCGAATAAAGGATGTTTATTAAAATACAAACCGCTCCGGATTCCCTTTGTGCCGAAGGGGGGAGGGGGGAGAGCGAGAGGGGGAGGCCCCTCAGCTCCGTCACCCACAGTTCCCGGCCAAGCACGAGGCGACCAGCACCCTGATAAGGACGGGGCTGGGCGAGGTGGGGGGGCCCACTTTCTGGGGGTGATGAGCCTGCCTCGGTGGCGGGGAGCCCGAATGGGGTGAAGGCAGCTCCTGGCATCAGGCCACTGTGCCCGCTGTGCCCCGGTGCCAGCGATGCCCCAGACCCGCCCGTGTGAGCCTGTGTGGCGGCGGCCGGCCCCGGCCGAGGAGACGGGAAATTCTGGGCCTGTCCAGATCCGTGAGCGATAACATGCAGGGAAGAGCCAAGGAACTCACCAGATATGATCACTGCATGACTCGCTTCGCAGGAATTGGCGCTGGGCTGGCTCCCGGGGGGCATTTCTCATCCGAAAGGCCGCTGGGGTGTGGGGCTGCGACCAGCGTCCCTCCCTCGCACATTCCAGCCTGTTCCCTCCCCACACAGCCTTCGGCCTCCCTGGCACAGCCCGGGGCGCCCACCAGCACGTCCAGAAGCCACAAGCGACGGTGGGGCCTGGAGCCGCCTGGCGACTGTGTCAGCGATTTCCCGCAGCGGCGGCTGCAGGCAGGGAAGGGTTTCTGCGCCGGTGGGCCGGCAGGGCTTGGCGGCAGCCTGGCCCTCACCAGCTGCGACGGAGGGGATGCCAGGCCTCCTCAGGGCACCCGCCCGGGCAGGCAGCAGCAGCAGGAGCCTGGGGGGAGGCCTTGGAGCCTGCCTGGGGGTCTGCAGGCGCTTGAAGGGCCTGGGCACTGCCGTTTGGGCTGGAATCAGAGAATTCCAACCAGACCTTCTTGAATCAGCTTCCCAAGAAAGACTCTTTTCCCCCCTCTGTAAAAGAAGACTGTGGCTTTGGAAAAGGGGCTGCCCTTCTGATTTGATGGGGGTGGTCCGGAGTCCGATTTTGGTCTGGCGCTCCCATCCCGGGTTGCACTTGGAACTGGGCCACCTGTGAAGGGGGTGCCCGGGGGGAGCTGGAGCCGGGGTCAGGCAGTGGGGGCGGGGCTTGGGAAAAATAAAGGCCTTTGTGCTGGGAGCCCTGTGGGGGGCAGGGCTTCGTGGAGCGTCTGAGTCGGACCATCCTGCCACCCCGCATGGGGTTGGGATTCATGCCCTGCTGCCTTCATCCGCCAAGCAGGTGGCTGGCCCTGGAGGCTGCTTGGCTGGCCCTGGATGCAGGCTCAGGAGCACAGCCCGGCCCCCTCCCCACGCTGCTCCTCCTCCCTCCCCGCCAGAGGAGGAATGTGGGCTCTACTGAACCCTAAAGCATGTGAGTGGGGGAGGAATGAGGAGGGGGCCGAAGGCAGAGCAATCAGTTCCTGCTCGGCCCAGACACCCAAACATGGTTGGAGGCCAGCTGTAGGAATATTTGAAATAAACGAGCTGCCCCAGCCAGCAGTTTGCTGTGTTGCCTGCCTGGGCCCATGGCAACGGACATCTCAGATCGGTCGAAGATCAACAAATGATGTTGCGGCCCAAGCGGCCCGGGAATCGGCTCACACTCTGACTCCGCTGAGGGCTTCCCGGGCCCCGGGCTGCAGCGGGCGTCCTGGTGGGCCCAGGGAAGAGACGCCACAGGGACTGCAGGGCTGCGAGTCAGTGGGTCTGGGGGCTCTGGGGGCCTGTGGGTCTGCGGGTCGTGGGGTCTGTGAGTCTGCGGGTCTGAGGATCTGCGGGTCTGTGGGTCTATGAGGTCCCAGGGTCTCAGGGTCTGCAGGGAGACTGCCGGGACTGAGAGGCTCCAGCTGTTGCTCTTCGTTTTCTTGTTTTCTTTTAAGGAGGAGAAAGATGATGGGCTGGAGCGATAGCACAGCGGGGCGGGCATCGCCAGGTGTGACCCAAAAAGAAAACAAAAAAGGCGTTAGATGATGCTTCTCCGGGTTCTTCCTGAGCCATCTCTGCTGCAGTGACCCCGGCAGAGGGAATGTTCCAGGTGGGAGAGGGCGGCTGGCTTCCCACCCACCCCAGTGCAGCCCCTTACCCGGCCTGACCTGGGGGCAGGAGAGCAAAGCCACCGTCCTCCCTCCAGGCTCTTCCACCGTGAGCCTTGCCGCCCCCCACAGAAGGGCTCCCGTGCACGGTGGAGGGGCCTCAGTGGGGTCCCCCAAATTCCCCAGCCCCTCCCACCGCCATAGCACCAGGGCACCGTGGGGAAGGGCGAACCCCCCACAACAGGCTGGGCAGGGCCCAGGAAACACCTTTAGGTGATGCTGACACTTGGTTCTGGGGGGGTCGTGGGCATGTGGCAGTCACGCAGAGCCCCTGCCCACCCGTGTCCTTTCCAGGCTCGGCGGGGGCGTGACCTGGAGGTGTGGGAAATGCGCGGGGGTCAGCTCCTCAGACAGGAAGGAGTAGGGGGCTTCATGGGCATAAGGGGCTGGAGCTGGACATTCAGTCTCGGGAACTTCCCCCGAGCCTCAGTTTCCCCAAGGCAATCGGTCCTGGGAAGCTGGACACCATGAAGGTCCTGGAGCTTCTGTCCAGGGGAGTCCCTCAGGCCGGACCATCCCTGGGGGGCCCATGGTGGGTGAGTCTCCCCCCCCCCGATAGTGCCTCCACTCCCTCCCACACGGCCGCCCACCAGTGCCCACCTCCAGACATTGCTGAACTCAGTGACCAGTGCTCACATGGGGGTTGCCCAGCCCAAAACGAGGGAGCGTCCCGCCCTGCTGGCTGGAGCCATAGCACAGCAGGGAGGGCGCTTACCTTGCATGTAGCCGACTGGGTTCGATCCCCGGCATCCCAAATGGTCGCCTCGAGCATCTCTAAGGAGTAATTCCTGAGTGCAGAGTCAGGAGTTGGGTGTGACTTCCCCCCCCAAAAAAAGTTGGCAGTGGACAGAGCAGGGGTCCGCCCGCCCACACCAGCATCCTCATCTGTAAGAGTCTGGGGCACCCAGCCCGGTCCAGGCGGAAGCTGGTGCGTGATGCCCTAGTGCCAGCCACCCTCTTGGGCAGTGGCCGCGCTGGGAATTGATCGTACAAGGCCATGGAATGTGGACGCGGCTATTTAGAGAGAGGGAGCCCGGGGGAGGCGGCTGCCCCCAGCGAGGGCCGCCCTGAGGCCTGATTTACGGGCACCCGGGCAGGACGCGCTGGAAGCGGTGGCAGATGTTGTGTCTGCGAGGCCGCTGGCCACTCGCGCACTGTGAGCCGCCACCGCACAGTGAGGAGCTGGATGCGCCCGACGTCCAAGGCCTGGAACCTTCTGGGCGGGGCGGGCCTGAGCTCAGGGGGAGCCGGACGCTGGACAGCAGCCCACACCCTTTCGCTGCCCCTGGACCTCCCCACCCCGATGCCACCAGTCGCTGAAGGGACCAAGGAAGGTCACGGGGCAGCAGACATGCTGGTCCATTCGGGGGTCCTGCAAGTCCCCACACCCGGAAACCCTGTGTGACCCGGGAACCAGCCTGTGGACCGGGGCCAACCCGCAGGGCAGGTCAGGGGCTCTGACATGAGACTCAGGTCGTGGTTCACAGGACGGCGCTTGGGCTGTTTCTCAGCTCCTTCCCACCGCAAGCCTGTGCTGGGGGTGGGGAGACTCACAGTCAAGTGCTCACTTCCTGTGGCCACCTGGAATGAATTCCCAGAAAACGGTGGGGGAGGGCATTGAGGCAGGGGCAGGAGGGGAGACTGAAGCAGGGGCAGGAAGGGGGACTGAGGCAGGGGCAGGAGGGGACCCTGAGGCAGGGGCAGGAGG